CTGGGCCGCCATGACAAAATGTGGTTCTCCAGTCGAAGGATTCGGTCGGGCCGAGTCCGCAAACCACCCCGACCATCAACTTCCACCATTTTCCATCAAAATCCATCACAACCCATCGCGAACCATCAAATTCCACCAAAGTCCATCATTTTCCATCAAAATCTATCAAATTTCATCAGGCCCGACCATCAAAATCTACCAGAATCGATCAACATCCATCAAATTATGATGAGCTTATTGCACGGGACTTCCACCATTTTCCATCAAAATCCATCAGAAACCATCAAATTCCATCAAAATCCATCAAGTCCGGCCACCACAAATCATCAGAAACCATCAGAATCCATCAAAATCCATCAGAACTCATCAAAATCCATCAAAATCCATCAAATTCCATCAAAAACCATCAGAAATTGTGATTTTTGTAAAGGGCAGGAGGGGGGGGGCATGCGAAAATTCCGGAGTGGGGGCGAGGGGCAAGGGGCGCCCATGCGCACTCGAGGTTGTAATCGTTTGATGGCCTTCTGCCCAGGCGCCCCACGGGGTGGCGGGCCGCTCGTGGTTTCTCTGCCAACACACACCACGCGACGACCGCGGGGGGGGGCGAACGTTTCTGCCTGGCCCTCGGGTCACGAAGTCTTGGGTGGGGGCGCGTGGCATTGGGCATAGGGGGCGCCAGTGCAATGTGTGGCTGGGGGCGTTGGCCTGTGGGCTCCGAGGTTTGAGCTTGGCTCTGGGGGGCAGTGGGTTCGGGGTCTCGGCCTGGGGAATCGGCGCGTCGGGCATGGGGGCCGCGGCGGCTGGATTCTGGCCCGCTCGTGGGGCACGGGGCCCAGCGCAGACGTACTCAGGATTCTGGGATCGGCCATAAAGGCGTGAGCTCTGGAGGTTCTGGCCGACGGCTTGGGGCATCGGGCTTCGGACTCTGGCGTCATGCGCCAAGCCACCCCCCCATGTGCCCCATGTCATGAGCCTTCGGCATTCTGCCTTTAGCCCAGTGCCCTGGGCCGTGCGCCCACAGGCGTAAGCACGTTGCCCTACGCCCTAGGCCCTGCGGCCCCATGCCGCGCCCCCTCGGCCCCAAGCCTTGGGCCCTCTGCTTTACGCTTGAAGCCGCGCCCCCGAAACACCGAAACCCTGCGCCCAAAGCTGCGAGCCCGAGGCCATGCGCCCCACCCCCCCGTGCCTAAGCCCCATGCCACACGCCCTCGGCCCGAATCCTTCAACCCTACACCCTGGGCCATGGGCCGAATGCCCTAAACCGCGTGCCCCGCGCTCCATGTCCTTTGTCTCTAGAAGTAGTTCCAGAGCCCGTCGGCTGACACCCCGAGCCCCAGGGCCTTAAGCCTTGTGCCCTAAGTCCTCAGCGGTGGGCCCTAGAGTGCCTCAGCCCCGAGCCTGCGACCACAGCCCTGAGCCTGACGCCGTAAGCCCTAGCTTTGAGCTCTGAAGCAGAATTCGTGAGCGATTAACTTCAGCCTCATGCCTTAGAGGCCCACAGCCCCAATCCCATATGCCCTGAGCCCTGGGCCATGCACCCCGAGCAGCAAGCCATAACCGCGAAGGCCTGAGCTCGAATCAGGAAACCCTGGTCCCGTAGCCCCAAGCCCTGAGCCCAGAGCCGCTTGCCTGGCGCCCAACGCCCTACGCCTGGAGCCCGAACCTCTGAGTCCCAAACCCGAAGCCCAAGGCTCTCAGCCCTCAGCACCACCCACGAATACCAGAACCCTACGCCCCATGCCCGAAGCCTCGGTTCCCATGCCTGGGGCCTCGTGACCTCTGCTGCAAACAATCAGCCCCCAGACGCGCGCCCTGCGCCCTCTGCCCTGAGCCTTGGCGCCTGCGCCCCAAGCCGCGCGCCAACTGCATTCGCCCCCCCCTCCCCAGCCCTGCGCACCGCGCCAGGCGCCCCGCGCCCCAACCCTCCAGCCGCCTTCCCAACGCCTATGGCCGCAACCTCATCTGTCCTAACACCGAGTCCCGAACCCCATTCGCTTTATATCAAAATGGTTGCGCGGACAATGCCGCTCGCCCGTGGCCCCTGCCGCTCAGCTTTGCGCCAATCGGCACAGGCCCACAGCCTGATGCCTCATGCCCTTAACTGGAGTCGTCGGCGCTGGGCCCGAAGCCTTCGACCACTAGCGCTAAGCCAGAAGCCCTGGGCGATGAGACGTTGGCCATGACGCCCGAGCCTTGAGCCTCGGCATTCACGCCAGAAATCCTGAGCCCGAGGGCCGCGGCCCCAAGCCACGATCCCGATGCCATCATCCCTTTGCCCCAGATCTGTCGCGCAGTGCCTTCAGACCAGGTCACGAAACACTCCGAGCCATGGCCCCTGGGCCCAACGGCCATCGCCTTCTGGCTGAAGCCGCGAGCCCGAAGCCTTGCGGTCTAGGTTCGGATCCCGATGCGCCACAGCTCTGGGCGCTACGCCCTGTGCCTTGAACGCTGGGCGCTGAACCTTAAGCCCCGCGGTTTCAACTCTGCGACCTATGCGTTCGGCCCTGAGCCCCCGCCCCCAAGCCGCATGCCTTCGCCCCTGGGCCCACCGCCCGATGCCGTCATCCGCGGGCCCCGAGCTTTCCGCTTTGAGCCCTGGCCCTTGAGCCTTGGGTTTCACCCCCCAATCCTTGAGAGATGGGCCCTAAGCCCTGGTCGCTGAGCATTCAGCCCGATGCCCGTAGCGCCCAGCCCGTTGCCCACTGCCGAGGCTTCAAAGCTTCGAGGCCTGATCCATGAGCCTTGAGCCTTAAGCCCGAAACTGTAGCCTTGGAGCAGTTGCGCCATGTGCCCCAGGCCCTCTGCCCAAGGTTCCAAGAGCGGAATGGCTGGCCCTCAGCCTCCAGCCCCATGGCCCTAAGCCCCGCGTTGTACGCCCCGTGGCTCTACCCCCGCAGCACGAGGCCCGACACCATAAGGCCTCAGGCCCTGTGCCATCAACCCTCAGCCCGCAGCCCCGAGCCCCATGCCCTATGCCTTAAGCCGCAGGGCCGAGGCCCGTCGCCCGATGGCATGCCCGCGAGGCCCCTTGCCGCGCGCCCAAAGTTGTCGGCCTTCCGTCCCACGTGCGTGAGCATTCGCGTGAAACCGATGGCCTGCAATCCTCGACCGCCAGCCTTAGGCTCTGAACTTTCATTCCTTAGCCCCGAGCCTGGGGGCCCCAGCCCGAAGCTCCAATCCTCACGCCCTATGCCTCGAGCCCTGGGCCCGAAGCCAGAGCGCCAACGCCTCAAACCATAACGCCTTGAGCAACAAGCCCGAAGCCCACATCGCAAGGGCCAGCGTCCTGTGATTCAGGGTTTACGCCATAAGCTCCAAGTACCCAGCCCTCATCCCTGACCCCAAATGCCCCAGCCCTACGCCGTGAGCCCCTGGTCGTGGGCACCGAGCTTACATCCCTACGCCCTGAGCCCTCGGCCATGCGCCTCGAGCCATGTGCCCGAAGCCGCGTGCCCGAAACGGAATGGCCCAAGCCGTAAGCCCCAGGCCTTGATCAATAACGTTGCGAGTCGTCAGCAGTGAGACTTCAGTCAGATGCCCTAAGCCCTGGGGCTTAGACCCGACCCCTAGGCCCCCCCTGGCCCATGACCCGTAGCCCAATTCCGCACCCTCTGAGCCTACGGCCCCGTGCCCCTGGCTCCCCTGCCTGAGCCCAAAGCACAGAGCCTAGCGCCCCCGCTCAAAGCCCGCGGCCTGAGGCGCTCCATCCTGAGACCTCGGCCAGAAGTCATCGGCCGTCAATATGTAGTATTGAGCCTTGGGCCCTGGTCCTTGGCCCCTCAGCTGCACGCCCCATCGGCCCTTGGACTTGTGCACAAAGCCGCATGCCTCAAACCCCAGGCCCTAGGCTCTAAGCCCGAAGGTCCATGCCTTAAATTTTGAGCTCTACGAACTTATCCTTAAGCCGTGAGCTCAAAGCCCTCAGCCCTGAGCCCGAAGCCCAGATGTCGTAAGGCCCAAGCCCGTACCCCGAGCCCGTAGCCCTATGCCTTAATCCCTAGGCCCTGAGCCCCGAGCCATGAGCCCTCGGCCCCGATTTCAAAAGCCTTGGACCAGCACCCCTGGGACTTAAGGCCCAAGCCCGAAGCCTCCAGATTTCTGCCATTTGCCTTATGCCCCAAGCCCGAACAACTCCCTCTATGCCGATTACCTCACATTAGGTTTTGCCCCGCCCCCCCCCCGCGCGCGCGTGGGTTCTTGCAGACAACAATAAACATGTCAGCAACATAAAACTCAACGTATGATGCATGCCACATCAACGTGCAAGCCCGAGCGTTTACAGTTGCAATAAATGTGCATATGTTTCTGCGTTCTTCTATGCATATCACACTTCATGCGTGGATTCGCTCAGAAGGTTGTCCTGCCTCCGTTCTGGACGACCGAAGGGCCGATGCTGCGGTTCCGGAAGCCCCGATCATTCGCGGGGCCGTTGCAGGCACGGGAAGATGAGGCGTTCTGCAGGGCCTCGTCGTTTGTGGGGGGACCACGCACCCGCCTCGCCAGTCGGTCACTTTGGCGGGTTGGAGTAGCAGCTAGGGGTTGCATCGGCCACGGCTCCGAGTCTTCTTCTGGCGACGGGCCCCCGACAGTGAGATATCATAAAGCCTGGTCCGCCGAGAGGGGAGGGGGGGGCGAGGTGCATGGGGGGACGAAGCGGCGGCAAGGGAGGGGACGGGCAGGTGGCGGGGAGGGGGGCGGGAGGCAGGGGATTGGACGAGGACACGGAAACGCCCATGTGGAAACGCTTGTGGTCGGAACGAGCCCCGCTGGACACGGTTCTTGGCGAAGATAATCGCGATGATAATCGCTATGATAATGTCGCAGATTGGCGCGAAGATAATCGACATGGAGCACACCCGAGTGGCGAAGATACTCGAACTCGTCCTGGAGTTATCCGCTGAGAGTGTCGCTCCCGTGTCCGACACCGTGTAGGCTCGAGCATTTTGCCCGCGGGCCCTTTTTCCAAGACCCCTCGTATTTCTCCTCGCCGTTCGGCGCAGGCCGTGGCCATGGCCACCGCTGGTTCTGCGCGCGCGCGCAAGCGCGCCGTGTCCCGTGTCGCTGAGGCTCTCGCTGTCGATTCCGACGAGGCCGATGGCTCGGAGCGCTCCAACCCTGAGGAGAACGACGACGAGCTTTTCCAGGATGTTCGGCAGCGCGGGCGTGCAGCCGTCAAGGTCCTGAAGGTCGATGCGAAGCCGAAGGCGAAGCCGTCGGGCAAGTTTCGCGTCTGCGGCCGATCAGGCTGCTCCAAGAAGGAGACGGCCGACATGCGGTTCCCAGATGCGTCGATCGCTGCGTGCGAGAGGTGCTACTACCCGTGGGAGTGGGCCTGGAAGGAGAAGCATCCCAGCTGGCCGAAGTTCTGCCAGCAGCTCAACCAGGAGAAGACCTTGAACGACCAGTTCGAGGTGTCCGCGGAGTGCGCGGAGGACGCGCGCAACAAGGCTTTCGACGAGGAGAGCGTCGACATCGTCTCGCGATGCGGCTTCAGGATGGCGCACCACTTCAGGGTTTGGAAGGAGCAGCCCTTTCGCGAGGCCACCTCCATGCCCGCTGACGTCGAGCCCAAAGATCTGGATCTCAAAGCTTCATCGATCAAGTTCCCTTCGGGCGCTAGCGTGGATGGATATGTGACGGTGAACCCTGACAAGCCCTTCGTCGACGTGGACAGGATTGAGGAGTACTTCGTCGAGAGGCGTTCCCAGTCGCTCACCGAGGCGCGCCATGTCCTCAGGGATCAGGGGAAAAAGATGTTCAAAGCCGAGATCTCGACGCTCAAGGCCAAGATGCCCACCGCCATTCGCGGCAGGACCACCCCTCCGACGCTGGGGTCCATCGCGTTTGAGGCCAAGGTGAAGAGCGACGGCAAGGGGGGCATCCAGCCTCAGCAGCATCCAGGCGGCGGCCCTTTCGTTAACCAGGGCAGCCGTGGGCATGCTGCAGACAGTGCAGCGGACAGTCTCCCAGCATCCGTGCCCGAGGACTCTGGCAGCGGCGTCGCGGCCGCGGGTCTGCATGATCTTACCGGAGACGCCGCGGGCCGCGGCGAGGGCGCTGGCGACAGCAAGAGCAAGACCCAGGGCGAGAAGGACCTCCAGGGGCTGCAGGTGGATTCATCGAAGCCTCCGAGTGCCTCGCCTCCCCCAGCCCGCGGACGCTCTCGGTCGTGGAGGTCGACTCGGACTCGCATCAGTGCAGCGGGAGGGGCCTCCAGGGCCCGCGCAGGTGGCAAGGCCGCCAGCTCCGCTGGTGGCATGGAGGCCTTATCGAAGCCCAGATCGCCAGCGGCTGCCGACGAGATGGAGAGGATCAGGCAGCTCGAGACCGATTGCGACATCGCGAAGATCTTGGAGGGCTACAAGCTCGGCGATAGGGAGTACGCCGTCACACGCTTCAGCCCGAAGCAACCCAATGCCAAGGATAGGAGGGACGCGCTGATCGAAGTCATCGAGACGGCGAAGCAGATTTCCACGCACAACATGCACAACCTCAGGGGCAATAACGATTTGAAGACGAAGTACATCAACGAGCTGAAGAAAAACAACGTGAATTTCCAGAGCTGCCCGAAGTGGTGCCGCACTCTGGTTTCAGAGACCCTCCATGCCAACTTAGACTTGGATGCAGTGTGGGACATCATCAACCCGTTCGCTGAGGCGGAAGATGGCCCTGTTAAGTTCGACCCTGCTTGCCCGAAGCTCTCGGGAGTTGCCGATGAACTGGATGTGACCATCAATATCGCAAGGGACCACGCCTTGAACTACCTGCTCATCCCGATCATCCAGAATAAGACCGATCAGCTGGATACTGCCAAGGGGCTCCGAAGCACCTTGAGGGAGTGTGTTCGTGCTTCACTTGGGCTGCCACAGGAGATCAAGAAGTTCTACAAGGACATGCAGGTCTGCGCGGCCATCCTGGACACGATCTCCGACCACTCTGCGGAGGCCGTGGCCTCCATCGAGGTCGACTTGGCTGACTTTCGGAAGATGCTCCACGGCGACTATGACAAGGAGTGGTCGTCGTTCGCTCGCGCTTTGGACTCGGACGATTACTGGAGGCAGGAGAAGATAGAGTGGCGACGCGCTTCTCAAGGTGACCTGCAGGAGATGGAGAATATAACGATGACCAGGCAGTCGCTCGAGGGCGAGGTCTCCGACGTCACGGTGTTCACCAAGACCGTAGCGTCCCTGATGAAGTGGTTCACAATATGCAGGTCTTCTACTCCGACCCCCGCCATGCATGATTTTTTCTCTGCGGCCGAGCAGTTCATGGACCGTCACGCCTTGCTAACGGACGAGGAGAACGCGCCGAAGATGGACCAGTTCAATTCCTTGCTCACAGGCCTTCTCGAGCTCGACAACTGCTTCTCGAAGGGCGAGGCCCGTGAAGGGGTCACCAGGACTTTCGGGCCTCGGCTGCACCGCTTAGTGGAGAGGGTTCGGGAGCTGCAGTCTCAGGTGTCCAAGTCTGTCTCGTCGAGCGCGATTTTGCAGGCCTTGCAGAAAGCGGCGGTTGTCGAGAACATGAGCGCTCAGGCAAAGATCGTCAATACCGAGCTCGGGCAGTTGGGAAGCGTCAGGTTCTCCGACCCACCACACCTGAGCATCATATTCAATGCTGTGGACGCCATGGCCGCTACCGCATGCAATAACATCAAGATGGATACGGCGACAGATATCGACGACTTTCTCGTTGACGAGGTGGCCGACATGTTGGAGCTAACCACGAAGGTGTGCGACCTAGCGGAGTGCGACGACGAGGAGCAGCGCATCAACGGCGCTGCTCGCCGCGTGAAGCTCATGACGATTGTCTTGAACACGACTCGCGCCCTCAAGGAGCTGGTGCAATTCGGAAATGCAGCTGAGCAGGTTTCAAACACGGAGGGCACCAAAGCATACCAGTGCCTGAAGGGCACCGTCGGGGAGCTCAAAAAGATGTGCAGCCTGATGGATGACCAGCCTGGAGGGACCCACGGCAACTTCATCAGCATCGCTCAGATCAAAAACAAGTTCGAGTACCTCTTGGCCACGGCGGCGGGCACGACACTGTCCTTCGAGAATGCCGACATCGACTCTACCCTCGCCGACGCCACCGAGTATCAGAACAGGTTGAAATCCATCGTCAGTTTTGGCAACGTTGATCGTGGCTGGAGGGCAGGCCTCGACGACAGTGCAGAGTGGACGGCGGTGGTCAAGCATGCTCGCTCGACGGTCTTCGCAACGAAAGGCTTGGCGGCCAAGGTGGGCTCCGCCATCGCGGCCCTGGAGAAAGCCATCACCAACGTCCGCGACACCTGCAAATCCTACGAGCAGGACGGCAAGTGCGACGAGATCGTGAGGGCAATGGAGAAGACGATCCACCTGGCAAGGCTCACGCAGATGGAGGCCGCCGCCATCCAGAAGATTCGCGATAACGAGAGCTCCAGTACTGAGGTGAGGGCCACGGCCATCCAGAACGTGCTGGACGTCCTCCCAGAGAACGGCATCGCCCAGAACGAGTTCCACCTGGCGGCGCAGAAGAAGCTGAACGAGGCCATGCGGGCCTGAGTTGAACGATGGCCCATGCGGGGCTGAGTTGAGGCAGGATGCCTCAGTGGGCAGCAGGCTGAATTGTACGAGCTCGCCGCTGCTCCGACCCGAGCCTTGACTTCGGAGTGCTCCTCGAGGAGCGCTGGAAACGGACTGGGGGTTCAGGACTTCCGAGGGGCAGGATGAGGACGGGAGAAGGAGGAGGAAAATGAGGGGAGGGGAGGGAGGGGCGGGCGGGGACGGGACAGGAAACGCAGAAAGAGGGGGGAGGGGAAGCGGTGCGGGGGAGGGAGGGAGGAAGGGCAGGCAGAGGAGGAGGAGGGAAACCAGGCAGACGGCAGGATACCTCCTCCTCCTCCTCTCCCCTCGCCCGCCCTCGCCCTCGCCCGCGCCGTCGCCCTCGCCGACGCCGACCCCAGCGCCCTCGCCTGCGCCCTGAGGCGCTTCGCCCGCGGGAGGGTGGAAGGGAGAGGGGGGGGGGAGGCGGGCGAGAGGGGCGCAGGAAAGCGGGGGGGGGAAGGGGGGGTCGAGTGCAAGCTGGAGGGGGAGGAAGGGGACGGAGAGCGGGGAACAGACAGGGAGGAGGGGGCTAGGGGGAGGGGGCGGAGGAGGAACGGGAGGAGGAGAAGGAAGAGGATTTTTGAAAAGCTCGAGCGTCGAAGCGCACTAAGCACCCTAACATGCGAAGGTGTTGGCAACTCTAGCGGCCACGATGGTGGCCGCGCTGAGCCCGTGTTATCCCCATGGCCGCTCGAGCGCTCGAGCGACGCCGCGCCGCGAGAGTTCGGGGTCAGCCCGTGTTATTCCCATGGCGCGCGCCAGATACTTTGGCGCTGGCCATGGCGCGTCCCGAGGGCCGAAACAAGACCCATCAAAACCCCGCGGCGTGGTTTCCATCAAAACCCCATGGCGCACCCCCCCAGGGCATATCCTAAGAAACGACGTCGTAACGGTAGACGACGGCAGAGGCTCCACGCGAGAGGATTTAGCCAGAAGGGGTAACTGTGCCATCGGAGTTCGCGTCACCAGGATCGATGCCAATACGCGCTTGGAGGACCTGGGCACCTTTCGGCTGCGGAACGCCATGCGCCTACCCGTCGGTAAGGAATTTCTGTTGTTGGAGTGGCCCTCAATGTGCAAGGTCGCGACCAGACCCCTGGAACGTGACAAAGAGAACAGGTGGCTTTACATTTCAGTCACGGGCCCGACGGTAGACAAGATCGCTGACGTCTCAGTCTGGTGGCCCCCCCGCCCTGGGCGGGAACATCCATCCCAGAGATTCTCAAGCGCTAGGTCTTAACCCTTCCGACAGGTACCCTTCAAACTGGTGCATCGTCGTCTACAACCACGCGAAGAGCGGGCAGTTTCACGAAGACGAACCCAAGGCGAGACGCCCCCCTAGCGACGATCTCCCCTGGTATCGCGTAGATGAAGCCCCTTCTGACATCCAGTTTTGGCGGCAATGCTCGGCACTGGGCCAGATCTACGACCCGCGCCAAAACCCAGCGGATCTGTTCGGCCACCAGCTTTCACCTCTGACGTACCTTCTTGCCTTTGTTCACGCCCCTCGGTCGGATCGAACCTTGGCCAACGACTTGGGACACATGCGTTCGCTGGGGCTGAGCCTTAGAGCCAGGGCGGAGGCCACCCATGAGCGGAACGTCCCAGACGCCGACCACTTGCAAGCAGTCGAAGACGGCACGCTGCTGCAGGCACCGCCTCTCCCCCAAGGCTTAAAGGCGTTCTCTGACGACGAAATCTCAGATACGACAGGCTCCGTCTTTCAGAGAGTGCGTCCTACTCCCAGCGTGGACACGCTCCACAGGATTATCGACAAGCACAGGCCGAACGGCGATGCGACCAGTGCCCTGCGTGCCACTCTGAACCACCACGCTGTTCTAGTGCACGGACCCCCTGGAACTGGCAAGACCACCTTCTCAGTTGCCTGCCTGGACATGTGGGGTTCCTGCCTACGCCCTGGACACGCTGTCGCTTTGGCAGCAGGGTCCAACACGGCGGTCGACCAACCAGCTCTGGCAATGATCGAGGCACAACGGCAGCGGCGCCTCGACCAAGACACGGGCTTCCCCGACAAGTTCGTGCGCCCGGCAAGGAAGGACCGGGTCAACGAGGCACTTGTTGACCTTACTCCCGAAGGTCACTACAGAATCGACGAGCCGAAATCCTTCACATCAGTAATTTTGGGTCTCGGAGCCACAGGGCGGTTTTTCATGTTTTCCATTCGACGTTCCATGAAGCCCGATGTCATTCCGAGGCCGCGCGTCGAACGTTTTCGATGGCGCGTCGCGTTATGCGATGTCACGTGCGTTGGGGTCGTCAAAGGCTTGCGTGCTTGTTGCGGATCGGTTGATGTGGGCTGGGGTTTCTCAGGATTGTACATTTGCTTTGCGCTGGGGCGGTTTCGACCCCCATCCCTGGCTGATCCACCCCGCGGGTAACGTCGCAGGAAGAGTTCGATCATTTCGTTCGTAGTGCCAGCGATGCTGTCGCGGACATTGACCGCGCCACGGGGGGGGGGCGTCCAGAAATTTCCTAGCATATTGCAGTGTTGGTTCTTCGTTTTGAAGAGACACCGCCCCGCGTCATTCCTTCCGGCCCCCTCCCTCGTCCTCCCTCTTCGCGTATCTGCCCTTGCTCTCCGCGTGTCTCCGTCGTCATCGTCCATCGTCATCGTCGCCATCACCATCATCATCAGCATCATCAGCATTCTCGTCGTCTCCATCATCAATACCGTCACCATCCTCATCAACATCATCAAAACACCCCCCTTGTTCCCCCGCGTCTCTGCTTCGCCACATCCCCCGCAAGTCTCGTGGCCTTGTGAGGTGCTCCACCGAAGGCCCCATTGGCAGGGTCCTTAGTGCGCCGCCCAGCCCATGTCGGCACGCTCCTCCGACGCTTCGTGTCCCCATGAGGAGCTCATCGGAGGTCCCGGCGGCAAGGTCCACATGCCGTCGCCCAGGCCACATTGATGACACCCTCAAACATTTCGTGCCCCCATAGGCAGCTCCACCAAAAAAAGGTCCCAGCGGCAGGTTTCCCAGGCCGCCGCCCAGCATATTTCGGCATACGTTTCACACGCTTCGTGGCCCCACGGGGAGCTACACCGACGGCCCCACAGGCAGGGCCCACAGGCCGCCGCCCAGCCCATTCCGTCATACGCTCACAAGCTTCGTGGCCCCATTGGGGAGCACCCCCGATGGCCCAAGCGACAGGGTCCACATGCCGTCGCCCAGCCCATGTCGTCCACGAGTGGCGCCCAGCACGGCTCCAAGAGCGCCCCAAGAGGCGCCGAGTAAGTTGCACCCTCATGCAAATAGTTTTGTCACTTGTGGGGGTCCTCTTGGGGCCCTCTTGGAGCATTCTTGGGGCCCTCTGGGAGCGTTCTTGGGGCCTTCCCGGGGCCCCAGTGGGCCCTCGGAGGGCCCCAAGAACGTTCCCCGAGGGCCCCAAGAGGGACCCCCCAAAGTGGTACAAAGAATTCGCGCGAACGTGCAATCTGTTGTAGGCCTTTCGGGGCCCTCTGGGAGCTCTCTTGGGGCCCCCATTGGTGGCGCCTTGGGGCCTTGGGATGGCTCCAAGAGGCTTCGGGATTGCCCCAGACCGCCACAAGACAGCTCCGAGACGGCCGTCGAGCACCACGGGTGAAAGCAAGTGAGGCTAGGGAACAGGGCCTCTGGTAAGCCGCCACTGCGCCCCCTGGACTACCCAGACAGCGAGGGGACCTGAAACGCCCTGGGGCTCCAGGGGCCCCAGATTAGTGAAGTGAAGGTTTTTGCCATGCAAGCACCCCGAAATTCTTCACTTCACTAAACCGGACCCAGGACGAACTCGCTACGCTCCAGTCCCGCGGGAGATCCAAGACTCCCGCCGCCGCCCGGGGACGTTGCTGCATTGCGGTGCTCTGGTCACTGTTAATGGCTTCCGCGGGCTGCAGCGGCTCACTTCCATGACTACCCCGACTCACGAATCCAGTGGTTGGTCTGGCTCTATGGGTTGGTTTCGTTGTGTCGGTTGATTTTATGCTTGGTTGGCGGTCGGTGGATTTCGCGTTGTTCATTGGTGTCGTGAAGTGATTTGTCGTTTGGTTGGTCAGTGCCGTTTTGTTGATTCGTGCCGTTTTGTTGGTTGGTGTCGTTTCGTTGGTTGGTGTCGTTTTGTTGCTTGGTGTCGTTTTGTTGCTTGGTGTCCTTTTGTTGGCCGGTGTCGATTTGTTGGTTTGTTGGTTGGTGTCGGTTTGTTGGTTGGTGTCGTTTTGTTGCTTGGCGTCGTCCTGGCGGCGTGGCCGATAATCGGCGGCCTGCAATGGCGCCAGGATTTGTTTCGGGCCAGCCTTGATCGCCCTCATCATTCTCATATTCGTCAGCGTCAGCACTCGTCGCCCCCATCCGCGCACACATGCGGCCCTGGTACGGCTCTCACGCGGCCCTGCGAAGGCCTTCACTGTGCTCCCCAAAGCTTTCTGAGGGGCCCCCCAGAGGCCCCAAGAGGGCACTGGAAATTGTCGCTTCCAACTCCGCCAGGCGGAGGTCAACAAGGGTCTCACTGGTGCACTTCCAGGAATCGTCGTTCGATCCTCTTGGGGCCCTCCTGGGGCCTTCTGGAGCCGTCTTGGAAGCTCCGAGCGGCTCCATGAAGGCGCCGGGCGATATCGCTTCCAATTCCGCCAGGTGGAGTTAGACCAGGGGCTCACTGAGGCCCCTTTTTGCGCCCTCCTCTGCCTTTGAAAGAATCCCGATGGGGTTCTTCAGTGCCGTCTTAGGGCCCCTAAGAGGCCTCCAGTAGGGTATTTAAGTTATCGCTTCCAACTCCGCCACGCGGAGTTGAACCCAGGGCGGCTCTCTATGGCCCTTTCGGGGCCTTCTTAGAGCTTTTCTGAGGCCCTAAGTGGGCCCTGGGAGGTGTCATTTTCACGGGCGTTGAAAGTGACACCGCGGAGGGCCCTCTTGGGCCCTTCTTGGGGCCTCACTTGGGTCCCTCTGGGAGCCCTCTTGGTG